TTGTATGTTTTTCAGTGGCTAGAAGAGAGGAGCCCAAATGCTCTCATCACAAAGAAATGATAAATTCTTACGATCATGAATATGCTAATTACCCTGATTTGATCATCACACATTGTATACATGTATTGAAATATAAGCCTATACCCCATAAATATGTACAATTATTGCATGTCAATTTAAAAAAGAAAAAAAAAATCACAATTGCTGGAAACTTTTCCTCCTCTGGCTTGGTTTCTTCTGTTCTGATCATCCTGGGATAAGCTACTTTACTATTGCCTAAAGTTGGGTCTCCTTAAAAATGCCTCACTTCCAAACTTATCTTCCTGTTAGAGCCGGTGACAATCAATCCCTCTTAGCACACTCTCTACTTCTCCCACCCGTGAAAAGACCTTCAAAAGGTCTCCAAAGTGGGCCCTGCTTGGAGACTGGACAGCTGGAATGGAACAGTGTGGAAGCCCAGAGATCTGCAGCAATGATCTCGACGAGTGTTGGCATTTCTGTGGTCATGAAAGAGACCTGGTTCCCTACTGTGACTCGTGAAGTAGGTGGCTGGTCCTGAACTAGAAAAAGAGCCAGAGGGAGCAGCCAGGACTTTCCCCAGTGACATGAGCAGAAGTAAAGGGAAGTTTTTCTTTCTTTCATACCCAGAAGGTCAAACTTTCTAGTTGTGGAAGAGAGCAAAGGGTCACCAGTGAGCCTGTCATTTTTTGGACATTTCTCCCACAAGGTGAAAAGCTCTCTGCTCGTACAGAAAGTAAAGTTGAAGAAATAATAATTGAAAACACAGGAAAGTAACCTCAAACTGTCTCATAGAATACATATAACACACAGAAAATGCTTTTAAAGTGTTGTCTCAAGGAGCTACTGAAATGTTTATAAAAATTAACTTCTAATAAAGCAAAGCTAGAAATCACAGGATAACAGTATGGGAGTGCTCAAAAGGGGTTCACCCCGGGATTTTATAATATTCCATATTTGGTTCCCAAAGTAAGTTGGCCTTTCATTTCCTAACGCAGTCAGAATTCTTCCCCTGGCCTCTGCTATTTGCAGAAGTAATCTCTGCAGCTGTAACGAAACTTCCCCGTATTTATTTGTTACAGGTTATGCAAGGAAGGCTGACAAGCCAGCACCTCTCGGCCCTCTAACCCTAGTTCTCAACAGAGAAGCAGGTGTAACAATGTCTTACCCATCACGTAGCAAGTCATCCATGTCCCTTTTCCAAACACACCTTGTAGGAAGCGAAAGATCACAAACACAGAGAAATTTGGTGCAAATGCCACCACAACACCAGTGACGCCAACACCGAAACAGGATATTAAGTAAATGACGATTCTGCCATACCTTTTTGAGAAAGAGAGAGGAAAAGAGATCACCTTAAACATTTTCCTCAACACAATGGGAAAATATCATTTTAAGAGTTGCAAAAAGGNTTCTTCCCCTGGCCTCTGCTATTTGCAGAAGTAATCTCTGCAGCTGTAACGAAACTTCCCCATATTTATTTGTTACAGGTTATGCAAGGAAGGCTGACAAGCCAGCACCTCTCAGCCCTCTAACCCTAGTTCTCAACAGAGAAGCAGGTGTAACAATGTCTTACCAATCACGTAGCAAGTCATCCATGTCCCTTTTCCAAACACACCTTGTAGGAAGCGAAAGATCACAAACACAGAAAAATTTGGTGCAAATGCCACCACAACACCAGTGACTCCAACACCGAAACAGGATATTAAGTAAATGACGATTCTGCCATACCTTTTTGAGAAAGAGAGAAGAAAAGAAATCACCTTAAACATTTTCCTCAACACAATGGGAAAATATCATTTTAAGAGTTGCAAAAAGGAGGCTTAAGTACAGAAAATGTATCCTCTATAACTTCATTATTACAAAGTAAAGGATTATTGAAAAAACTAAGTTTTGTTTATGGCAAATACAGGGCAAATGAAACAGGTGCCTCTGAAACGACATTACCAAACTTAAAGCACGGAATGCATCCTTTGTGATTGCAGACTTCTAAAAGATGACCCTCTTTACAACTGTTATGTCACATACAGTCTCTCTGGTGGCATGATCTGAAACTGCCCACATTTCTGCAGGTGAAATCATCAGGAGAAAAGTAAAGTGAAGTACCAATGGTGCGTCACAGCCAGAAGCCCTGGCCTTGAGTCTCAGCTCAACCACCCACCCATCATTTGACCTTAGGCCAGTTCCGAAGCTCTCCTAACTCAGGTTTAGTTTGCTTATTTTTTCTTTTTTTTC